GATATTACACCTATTTCCACATGCAATAATTAAACAGCTATATCTATAGCCTTCTTAGTTAGGCTACTCAACAGACTGGATTACATGTTTATAGTATAGTTTAAGTTAGCTTGCTTTCGACCAGTTAGACCAGGGATGGGCAAATGGCGGCCCGGGGGCCGCATGCGGCCCCCACCTCCTCTTTTTGCGGCCCTCAGATTAATTTATAAACAAGGTAATTAATAAAAGAATTATAAGAATTATTTATTATTATTACGTCAACTAGACTCCTAGTTACGTCGCGAGCTGCGTACATAATTTCGTTCAGCAGCCAAATACAGCAAAATAATCTGTGACGCGTTTGTGTGTATTGTGTTTGTTTCCCGGGGAAACACTCACAAGAAATACCAGCTGTTGTCATGCCTGCTATGACGTTAAGTTGCCGCTTGTTATTAGGCCTTTACAAGCTTAAAAGTTGTATTTATCATCTGAATTTGGCGAAACAAGTTTAATATTCTAAAAACCAAGACTTTATTGTTTATTTGAAATCAGATGAAAACAAACTGTCACGGACCCTTCCGTGTTATCTATGATTACTATACGCTTTTCATTCATAATTTCAGCGGGAGGGAGGGGGAGCGGCGCTGAGGAACAGCAGAGTGCGGGTTGACAGGTGTCTGTGTTGACATTCCCCTTATTGTGCGTCAGCAGAGACAGGCTACAAGTGTCTTAGGTTCAAGTTAGACAACTAATGTCTGGGTTAGTGTTCATGACTTCATGTTTATCTCATCTTAATGGTTAATCTCAATGCACACACATTTTCCGTGCTTTCCAATAGTTTAAAATAGTTTTATTCTACTGTTAAATAACCTGTTCAATACAAACATGCCACTTGTAAAAATTAAATAACTTTTCTGTGAACTGATATTTGTTTAGTGAGCTGATTAGAGGAGGTTCCCTGAAAGATTGTAAAATGTCAATGAAGATGTCAGACTTAGTATATTTGTTAATAATTACATACAATACATGGAATTTGTGTGTGTGTGTTCCAAGTGAATCTGCGGCCCCCTGGTGGCCAGTACATAAATTATGTGGCCCCCACCACCATCCAAGTTGCCCATCCCTGAGTTAGACCATTACAATGCAGCTTACAGTATCAACCACTGGATGTTCTGCCTCCTTTCTGATAATATGGAGATGAATGGTTCATGTGATATTACATTTAGAAATGAGGCACAGCAAATTTTGCAGACTATCTCTTGTTGTTTGTTTCTATCATGGCTCATGGGCTCTGTGATGTTTTTCATGCTCTTAAGCAAAGAAATCAGATTTCATTCATGGAATACAAATAATACTATAAGTGGAGTCATACTGGAAATAAAAAAAGGACAAATAAAGATGATAGGAAAATCATAAGGGAATTAAAAGGTAACGAGGGAGAAGATTTTAAATTAAACTTTCTGTTCCCTTCAATTTATATTTTGGCAAAAAATATTTGTTATTAATGTGTGATCATCTCCCTTCCTATAAAATGGTCAGCAAAAGCTACACTTAACCTCTTAAGCCCTGAGCCTGTTTTTCAGGTCTCAGGCTCGAAAATGACATTCCCAGAACAAATGACCATATCTTCCCTTCTAAAAGGGTTAAATTAATAATCTTTATTCTCAAAGTAATGATAAACCTGTGAGTTGGATGTAGAAAAGTCAGAATCAATATAGATGTTTTTTATTTTAAAGACATTTCAGATTTTACATAATAAAAAACTGTAAATTATAGTGTCCGTCCAAAAATTCTTTTTTACAGATAGTGAAAACTACCCTTGGATGATGGGTTAGTAGACTAAAAGCTTTAGGAATCCAAAGTACAACATATAATAAGTACCCTGTATCAAGATTGATGCAAAACAAGTGAAATTTGACCTTTTTAGAGAGATTTAGCCAAAAACCCCCACTTCTGGGGTCATTTGGGTGGATTTGACCTATCTCTGGCCCCCCTTGGTCGATTTTGATGAATGAAATCTCTTTATAACCGCTAGAGCCAATGGAATCGAGGGAAAGTTATATACAGACCAACACGTTAACAAATAATGCTGCGTTCACACCGGACGCGATGCGCTGTTTGGGGGCGGCGCGATTACATGTAAAGTCAATGCAGAGACGTGGACAGACGCGAATTCGCTCCGACGGCGCGCATGAAGCGGTGGACGCGGCGCGAATCACACGATTGAGGCGATTAAACGGTGCCGCGTTAAACGCGAGAGTTCAATTTTTTCAACTCGAGCGTCAAATTCACGTGACGCGTTCTCGCGGAAGCCAATCAGCGGTGAGAATCTCAGCCGCCGTCACTGACGTTCAACCACACAACATCAGCCGTTAGCTGTTAGCAGTTAGTACACAGAGCTCACAGCTCCTCATATCTGTTCAGAAACTGGACAAAAGTTAAACAAGAACAAACCACAGACTGTGTCATGGTGAATACAGTCGCTGCTTATTTATGTCTGTAGGCCGTTGTTATGAGTGTGGAATGAGCATATACAACGTTAGCTTAGCCTGGTCGATCCGATCTTCATTCAGAAAACAAGCATTTTAAAAGGTGTTTTGCCTGCCGTCTTGTCTGCAGACTTGTCAAAGCCTTAATTCATGGTTGTTACTTACCGGTATCAGTATGTTGTTACTTCGGCATCATTTAGAAACGTGTATTACAATTTAATTCATTTGTTGTAGTTGTAGCTCTCGAGCCAGCGCGTCTTGTTTGAATGATGCGAGTAAACACAGCTGGCAGCCGCGGTGAACCTCCAGCGTTTAGAGCGATGCGATAGGAGCGATTAGAGCGAAGCGAATAGTCGCATCGCGTCCGGTGTGAACGCAGCATAAGGAGTGAGAGTGACGCGTTACCAAAACCGGAAGCTGCATACACTCTGGTGGCTACCATTAGCAGCTAACTTTTCCGCTCCGATTTTTACATAAAAAATTATTTATGGATTATAAATAATTTTTTAAAAGGCACAGGTACATTATAAACCTATGGATCAACAGTTGTAGATTTTTTTTTTTTTTTTTAATGCCATTGAACACGTCTTTTGACCTAATTGACAGCTACGGTGAGACGATCTGCCGTAAAAGCTCCGTAAAGGTACGTGTTGTGATGTCTGTGTTTGCTTCCCCTGTCGCAAGTTTGGATCGCTCAGTGATGATACTATACCTAAATAATCAGTGGAGTCTCAGCTTTAATAGGCTATATTGTATGTGCAGCTACGATAAGTAATAAGGGTATCTTTATCTTGAATTGTGTGCCGCAGTGCGTTAGAATTTTTTCGCTCAGGGGTCATTTAGACCCTTCTTATGAGACTTGTGTTTTGTTTTGGTAAAAATGGTTCATATCTTCAGTTAGCTGAGATTCTTCCCGTTAATCTGGTGCTACACATTAATAGTTTCATAAATGTTAAGAAGCCCTGAGACATTATCTCGAAAACAAAACGGTGGGAGGGGTCCAATGGGGGGACCGCCGTGCTTAAGAGGTTAAATAAACACATACCCTTAATTGGGAGTAGTCCCCATATCTCGTCCAAATAAAATCGTTTTTTCCTTCATAACCATAACCATGGTGAATTGTAAAGAAAATACCATTTACAGTGCTTTAGGTGTGCAGCATAGTGTAACTGGGAACAGCTTACATGTAATTCCAGATTTTGACAATAGATGGCCACACAGGGGCAGGCTGAGTCTCCATGCTTTGAGAGACACACAACATCAGAGGATATTTATTGTTTCATAGTGTAGTTTAAAGGTGGGGTAGGTAATTTTGGAGAAACCGGCTCGAGATCGCTAGAATTTGAAAATACACAGCCGGAAAAAATCTGCCACTTCCTTACAGAGCCCCTCCTCCAACACACACGAACGCGCACATGACCAATGAGGGCACGAGATAAGATTGTCCACAGATGGAAGGCTGACAGGCAGGTAGGCCATCCAGTTATTTTAGCCGGGCCGGCTAAAATGATTGGTCGTGCTTTTTACAGTACTACGGCTTCCACAGATTAATTTTTTTAATGGATTTTTTGTCAAAGCACTTAAGATATTCATTGCTATCGGGATGTTAAGAGCATTCAATGGAATATAACAAAAAGTGTATCTCGAGCCGGTTTCTCAAACTTACCTACCCCACCTTTAAGTGCCATTTTGCATAAGAAGGACAACTGAAGCCACATTACAAAAAATTAAGGCAACACAAACAAAAACAACTTAGTAAATACAAAGTGCTGGTCGAGTGCAGCCAAGTTATGACGGCACAAGGTTTTCATCTTAAAATAACATTAATGGAAACTTGATCATGACTAATTTATTAAAAACAGTGTAATCACCATCTATAATTTGCTCAAAATCATTTAATTATGCCCAATCGTTGTAAGATTATTCATGCAATAATAAGCATGGCATTTTACGTAAGTAATTGCTCCGTTTTTTCCATGATAAACTAAAATGAAATCAAATGTTCTGCTGTAGTTTCATTGAAATCCAAATAAAATAGAGATGAATATGTTGGCTGCAAGCACTCAAATTATGTTCAAACTATTACCTAAACATCATGTAATTTCTAAATAAAGTCAAACACTCTTCATTATTAGGTCCACCCCTCTGACAAGCTCAGGACCCCTAAAGTGCAAAAATATGAATGTAACTCTACAGGCACGAGGACCCAGCATCCTCCTGGGCTGCTCAGCCTGCAGGTTGTGTACTGAGATATTTGTCCAAACAGGAGAACATTCTTGTGAGAAAGACGGTAACATGGAGTAGCACTGGTCAGTTTGGGCCCTGGTTTTAGCACTCAGTGCTTTGGTGCACTTTGACATCGTTTTTGCTGTAGGTGCTGATGACAATTTAACAAGTAAGTTTGTTTTTTAAAGTTCAACCTCCAAATGTGTTGTTTGTGTGAAACATTCCACTACAAGGACAATTCTATTAATGTAATCCAAGTTTCCACAGCTTATCCATCTATATGTTATTTTTCTCATTTTCCTACAGCCAAGCCAGGAGTGTGCCCTCGCAAGAACGGCCCAGGACCCAGCCCAGGACTGTGTGCTGAATTTTGCTCCAATGACAATGACTGCCCCAATGATGAGAAGTGCTGCCATAATGGATGTGGACATGGCTGCATTGCCCCGTACACTGTGTACACAGGTTAGTAGTCAAATCGTCCAAATGTTCCTCTGGCAGGGTTTGAGTGATAAATGTGTTGACAATGCCTTTATTTTGGTAGATACCAGAATACATGACACAATGAATCTTTGTAATATATTTATATTCTCTAGTTTAAATACTCATACCAGTATTTAAACAATGTATGCTGGTCACCTGGAATCCTGGTAAGCTTCCAGCATGGTATATTTAATACTATTTTTAAACATAAACTGGTGATAGATAGATGCTGGTGACCAGCCCAGCATACCAGCATACTACAGTGTATGCTGGTCTATGCTGTTTTTTTTAGCTGGCCAGGATGGCTGGTTTAGCTGGTTTAGCTGGTGCACCAGCTAAACCAGCCATCCTGGCCAGCTAAAGTGTCCAGAACCCCTCTAAACCAGCCAGGCTGGTCAATGTAGCTAAATTGGTCTAAGCTGTTTTTTTCAGCAGGGAAGTCCTCCTCAATCTGCTCCATCAAATTTGTCTGCTCCTTTTTTCTTAAATCCAGTCCACTCAGCCTGTGTCCCCCTGCAATCCGAAAGGTTTTCAAACATGTTGAGCTAAAAAGAGGCTCTGCTGTCACTAACAGTGGCAGGGCCTAACAATCCCTCACTGAAGGTAAAAGTCCTTGAGTAAACACACAAGTTACAGGAGGGTCCACGGTTTAGCATTTACGCAGTTAGCATGTTAGCCAGATCCAAATTGCACCTGTAGGTCTGTTTGATTTAGGTCACTTAGCATGTTAGCATGTTAGCTGGGTGATGCATAACAATCTGTGATTTAGGCAGGTGCAACCTTTATTTATTGGAATGATCTATTATTTATACTTTCAATGTTAGGAATTAACTATAACCCAGTAAGTACAATTCTGTGCAATTATTTACTTATAATCACTAACTATGAGTAGCAGGCCAAGTGAGGGACCTTCATGAGTCATTTCCAGAGTTTCAGCTTCTTCTGCTGCTGCTTCTTTTTCATGTGACTATTATTTTCTATTGTTCTGCTACATAAAAACGACTAACAGTTGCCTAAATATTTAGTCTAAATGTAAGCCTAATTAGTTCAACACCTGGTACAGCACATTTCACAGGGAGATATTACACCTATTTCCACATGCAATAATTGAACAGCTATATCTATAGCCGTCTTAGTTAGGCTACTCAACAGACTGGATTACATGTTTATAGTATAGTTTAAGTTAGCTTGCTTTCGACCAGTTAGACCAGGGATGGGCAAATGGCGGCCCGGGGGCCGCATGCGGCCCCCACCTCCTCTTTTTGCGGCACTCAGATTAATTTATAAACAAGGTAATTAATAAAAGAATTATAAGAATTATGTATTATTATTACGTCAACTAGACTCCTAGTTACGTCGCGAGCTGCGTACATAATTTCGTTCAGCAGCCAAATACAGCAAAATAATCTGTGACGCGTTTGTGTGTATTGTGTTTGTTTCCCGGGGAAACACTCACAAGAAATACCAGCTGTTGTCATGCCTGCTATGACGTTAAGTTGCCGCTTGTTATTAGGCCTTTACAAGCTTAAAAGTTGTATTTATCATCTGAATTTGGCGAAACAAGTTTAATATTCTAAAAACCAAGACTTTATTGTTTATTTGAAATCAGATGAAAACAAACTGTCACGGACCCTTCCGTGTTATCTATGATTACTATACGCTTTTCATTCATAATTTCAGCGGGAGGGAGGGGGAGCGGCGCTGAGGAACAGCAGAGTGCGGGTTGACAGGTGTCTGTGTTGACATTCCCCTTATTGTGCGTCAGCAGAGACAGGCTCCAAGTGTCTTAGGTTCAAGTTAGACAACTAATGTCTGGGTTAGTGTTCATGACTTCATGTTTATCTCATCTTAATGGTTAATCTCAATGCACACACATTTTCCGTGCTTTCCAATAGTTTAAAATAGTTTTATTCTACTGTTAAATAACCTGTTCAATACAAACATGCCACTTGTAAAAATTAAATAACTTTTCTGTGAACTGATATTTGTTTAGTGAGCTGATTAGAGGAGGTTCCCTGAAAGATTGTAAAATGTCAATGAAGATGTCAGACTTAGTATATTTGTTAATAATTACATACAATACATGGAATTTGTGTGTGTGTGTTCCAAGTGAATCTGCGGCCCCTGGTGGCCAGTACATAAATTATGTGGCCCCCACCACCATCCAAGTTGCCCATCCCTGAGTTAGACCATTAAAATGCAGCTTACAGTATCAACCACTGGATGTTCTGCCTCCTTTCTGATAATATGGAGATGAATGGTTCATGTGATATTACATTTAGAAATGAGGCACAGCAAATCTTTCCATCTTTAGAAAAAGTCATTATGAAAATTGTTCATGAATCTGTAGCTTTGACCGTCAGTGTAATGCTGATATGTTGTGCTTTCGGCTGGTTCACCATTACACAGCACATTAGAGTGCATGCATTGGCACCATCTTATCAGGATCAGGGGACTGGATCAGATAGTCCAGTCTCGTTGCTGCAGTGGGAGCCTCAGCCACTCTCATCTGAAATCTAATACATGCAAAGCTGCTAGCTGACTCATGGAGAAGCAAAATGCTATTGTGCAGACTATCTCTTGTTGTTTGTTTCTATCATGGCTCATGGGCTCTGTGATGTTTTTCATGCTCATAAGCAAAGAAATCAGATTTCATTCATGGAATACAAATAATACTATAAGTGGAGTCATACTGGAAATAAAAAAAGGAAAAATAAAGATGATAGGAAAATCATAAGGGAATTAAAAGGTAACGAGGGAGAAGATTTTAAATTAAACTTTCTGTTCCCTTCAATTTATATTTTGGCAAATAATATTTGTTATTAATGTGTGATATCTCCCTTCCTATAAAATGGTCAGCAAAAGCTACACTTAAATAAACACATACCCTTAATTGGGAGTAGTCCCCATATCTTGTCCAAATAAAATCGTTTTTTCATTCATAACCATAACCATGGTGAATTGTAAAGAAAATACCATTTACAGTGCTTTAGGTGTGCAGCATAGTGTAACTGGGAACAGCTTACATGTAATTCCAGATTTTGCCAATAGATGGCCACACAGGGGCAGGCTGAGTCTCCATGCTTTGAGAGACACACAACATCAGAGGATCTTTATTGTTTCATAGTGTAGTTTAAAGGTGGGGTAGGTAATTTTGGAGAAACCGGCTCGAGTGCGCTAGAATTTGAAAATACACAGCCGGAAAAAATCTGCCACTTCCTTACAGAGCCCCTCCTCCAACACACACGAACGCGCACATGACCAATGAGGGCACGAGATAAGTTTGTGCACAGATGGAAGGCTGACAGGCAGGTAGGCCATCCAGTTATTTTAGCCGGGCCGGCTAAAATGATTGGTCGTGCTTTTTACAGTACTACGGCTTCCACAGATGAATTTTTTTAATGGATTTTTTGTCAAAGCACTTAAGATATTCATTGCTATCGGGATGTTAAGAGCATTCCATGGAATATAACAAAAAGTGTATCTCGAGCCGGTTTCTCAAACTTACCTACCCCACCTTTAAGTGCCATTTTGCATAAGAAGGACAACTGAAGCCACATTACAAAAAATTAAGGCAACACAAACAAAAACAACTTAGTAAATACAAAGTGCTGGTCGAGTGCAGCCAAGTTATGACGGCACAAGGTTTTCATCTTAAAATAACATTAATGGAAACATGATCATGACTAATTTATTAAAAACAGTGTAATCACCATCTATAATTTGCTCAAAATCATTTAATTATGCCCAATCGTTGTAAGATTATTCATGCAATAATAAGCATGGCATTTTAGGTAAGTAATTGCTCCGTTTTTTCCATGATAAACTAAAATGAAATCAAATGTTCTGTTGTAGTTTCATTGAAATCCAAATAAAATAGAGATGAATATGTTGGCTGCAAGCACTCAAATTATGTTCAAACTATTACCTAAACATCATGTAATTCACTGGTTTTAGCACTCAGTGCTTTGGTGCACTTTGACATCGTTTTTGCTGTGCTGATGACAATTTAACAAGTAAGTTTGTTTTTTAAAGTTCAACCTCCAAATGTGTTGTTTGTGTAAAACATTCCACTACAAGGACAATTCCATTAATGTAATCCAAGTTTCCACAGCTTATCCATCTATATGTTATTTTTCTCTTTTTCCTACAGCCAAGCCAGGAGTGTGCCCTCACAGGAACGGCCCAGGACTGTGTGCTTTATTTTGCTTCAATGACAATAACTGCCCCAATGATGAGAAGTGCTGCCATAATGGATGTGGACATGACTGCATTGCCCCGTATACACAGGTTAGATGTTCGTCAAATCGTCCAAATGTTCCTCTGGCAGGGTTTGAGTGATAAATGTGTTCACAATGTCTTTATTTTGGTAGATACCAGAATACATGACACAATGAATCTTTGTAATATATTTATATTCTCTAGTTTAAATAATCATACCAGTATTTATTCAAACAATGTATGCTGGTCACCTGGAATCCTGGTAAGCTTCCAGCATGGTATATTTAATACTATTATTAAACATAAACTGGTTATTTTCATTTCATTTCAAACCTTTATTTAACCAGATGGTCCCATTGAGATCATCGATCTCTTTTTCAAGGGAGACCTGCAAAAAAGAGATCCACCAGATAGATGGATGCTGGTGACCAGCCCAGCATACCAGCATACTATGCTGGTCTATGCTGTTTTTTTTAGCTGGCCAGGATGGCTGGTTTAGCCAGGTTTTGGTTTTCGAAAAGTTTTCAAACATGTTGTGCTAAAAAGAAGCTCTGCTGTCAATAACAGTGGCAGGGCCTCACAATCCCTCACTGAAGGTAAAAGTCCCTGAGTAAACACACAAGTTACAGGAGGGTCCACGGTTTAGCATTTACGCAGTTAGCATGTTAGCCAGATCCAAATTGCACCTGTAGGTCTGTTTGATTTAGGTCACTTAGCATGTTAGCTGGGTGATGCATAACAATCTGTGATTTAGGCAGGTGCAACCTTTATTTATTGGAATGATCTATTATTTATACTTTTAATGTTAGGAATGAACTATAACCCAGTAAGTACAATTCTGTGCAATTGTTTACTTATAATCACTAACTATGAGCAGCAGGCCAGGTGAGGGACCTTCATGAGTCATTTCCAGAGTTTCAGCTTCTCCTGCTGCTGCTTCTTTTTCATGTGACTATTATTTAGTGGGAATGCTGATACAGCATTCCCACTATATGTTATTCAAAATCTTGATTCCGCCCGTTATTTTGCCGGTCTTCTTCTCCCACATTCCAGATCGCAGAAACTCAGTTCAAACATCAAAACGTTCAGCTCGGTCGGGAATCGATGGCTATTACTTTTCTCATTCATAACTTTCATAATTCTCGAGATATATCCCATAATTCATTTTTTTTTTAAACTGCCATAATTCCCAAACCCTACATTCCTGAGACATAATTTTTCATGACAAACGTAGGAAAACATCTCGTAGCTTGAAAAATGACATATAATTAAGCAAAAAATAATTAAACAAAATGCCTCTTGAGGGCATGAAGTGACAAAAACTTTCAACATGTCTCCATTAAAGCCCATTGTAATTTCAGGCTGATATTTACTCACAGCAGCAGCCGCACACCTTTAGTTAATCTGCCAAAAAGGCCACATTATTGACCCGAAAGTACACAAAAAGCACACTTCAGATACTCAAGGTCCTTGAGATGCTTCACGCTTTGAAATTTCACCGATATCTGTTACGGTTCTTCAACAAAAACGTTCACATGTAACAGGTTTATCTCTCATTCAGAACAATGCAAATGCTCTCCTCTCACTGATTACTGCACGTTGACACGTCGTTAGCTCAGATATAAACACCTGTGTCATGGAACACGATGATGTCATAACTCCAACTGACATGCTCAGAGCAGCAGACTTCAGATAATGGTTAATGGTCCTGCCCTCAACAGCTCTACGTCAATTATGGGGTGTCATCATATGCCATTTCCATGGAAGATCAAGAGAAGAGAGAGAGGGCGATAGAAGAGAGAGAGGGCAATCAAGAGAAGAGAGAGAGGGCGATCAAGAGGAGAGAGAGAGGGCGATCAAGAGAAGAGAGAGAGGGTGATAGAAAAGTGAGAGGGTGATCAAGAGAAGAGAGAGAGGGCAATCAAGAGAAGAGAGAGAGGGTGATAGAAGAGTGAGAGGGTGATAGAAGAGTGAGAGGGTGATCAAAAGAAAAGAGAGAGGGCGATCAAGAGAAGAGAGGGCGATCAAGAGAAGAGAGAGAGTCAAACTAAAGTGGAGACATGGCAGAAACCCTAAAGTGAAGTGTTCTCCTGTGAGAGGGCGATCAAGAGGAGAAAGAGAGGGCGATCAAGAGAAGAGAGAGAGGGCGATCAAGAGAAGAGAGAGAGGGCGATCAAGAGAAGCGAGAGACGGCGATCAAGAGAAGAGAGAGAGGGTGATAGAAGAGTGAGAGGGTGATCAAGAGAAGAGAGAGAGGAAAGAGAGAGAGGGCGATCAAGAGAAGAGAGAGGGCGATCAAGAGAAGAGAGAGGGCGAGCAAGAGAAGAGAGAGAGAAGAGAGAGAGGGCGATCAAGAGAAGAGAGAGAGTAATGTAACCTCCTAATGTAATGTATAACTCCTATGAAAATGTGCTCAAACTTCACATGTGTGCTAACAGTCCAGCCGTGAAGACATCTACGGGACAGTTTTGAGATTTCTTCAAATGCCGTTGCCATGGCAACACAATGCTCGCCATGAAACACGGTTTCTCATAACTTCATTGAAAATGCTCCAAACGGCCCAAAACTTCACAGGTTTGGTAACGATGCAGCCATCAACGCATCTAAGCATATTATGGGATGTCATCAAATGCCGTTGGCATGGCGACAGATCATTCGCCATCAAGTTAGTTCAAAAGTTTGCAGTTCAAATATTCTGCTGCTTTTCCAAGCCTTTTTACTTTTTTTTCTTCTCTCATCACACATTCAAGCCTCCCAGTGTTCATGTATCATTTCAATCTAAATTCTTCACTTTCTTCTTACACATTACATTTCAGCATAGCAGTTTAGCGTCAGCTTTTCAGCATAAAGCATTCCCACTAGCAATTTCTTCAGGAATTGCATTCTCTAGTTTTCTATTGTTCTGCTACATAAAAACGACTAACAGTTGCCTAAATATTTAGTCTAAATGTAAGATTAGATTAGATTAGATTACTTTATTGTCATTACAAAATGCAAGCACAGTGTAACGAAAGCCTAATTAGTTCAACACCTGGTACAGCACATTTCACAGGGAGATATTACACCTATTTCCACATGCAATAATTAAACAGCTATATCTATAGCCTTCTTAGTTAGGCTACTCAACAGACTGGATTACATGTTTATAGTATAGTTTAAGTTAGCTTGCTTTCGACCAGTTAGACCATTAAAATGCAGCTTACAGTATCAACCACTGGATGTTCTGCCTCCTTTCTGATAATATGGAGGTGAATGGTTCATGTGATATTACATTTAGAAATGAGGTACAGCAAATCTTTCCATCTTTAGAAAAAGTCATTATGAAAATTGTTCATGAATCTGTAGCTTTGACCGTCAGTGTAATGCTGATATGTTGTGCTTTCGGCTGGTTCACCATTACACAGCACATTAGAGTGCATGCATTGGCACCATCTTATCAGGATCAGGGGACTGGATCAGATAGTCCAGTCTCGTTGCTGCAGTGGGAGCCTCAGCCACTCTCATCTGAAATCTAATACATGCAAAGCTGCTAGCTGACTCATGGAGAAGCAAAATGCTATTGTGCAGACTATCTCTTGTTGTTTGTTTCTATCATGGCTCATGGGTCATGGGCTCTGTGATGTTTTTCATGCTCTTAAGCAAAGAAATCAGATTTCATTCATGGAATACAAATAATACTATAAGTGGAGTCATACTGGAAATAAAAAAAGGAAAAATAAAGATGATAGGAAAATCATAAGGGAATTAAAAGGTAACGAGGGAGAAGATTTTAAATTAAACTTTCTGTTCCCTTCAATTTATATTTTGGCAAAAAAGCTACACTTAAATAAACACATACCCTTAATTGGGAGTAGTCCCCATATCTCGTCCAAATAAAATCGTTTTTTCCTTCATAACCATAACCATGGTGAATTGTAAAGAAAATACCATTTACAGTGCTTTAGGTGTGCAGCATAGTGTAACTGGGAACAGCTTACATGTAATTCCAGATTTTGCCAATAGATGGCCACACAGGGGCAGGCTGAGTCTCCATGCTTTGAGAGACACACAACATCAGAGGACCTTTATTGTTTCATAGTGTAGTTTAAGTGCCATTTTGCATAAGAAGGACAACTGAAGCCACATTACAAAAAATAAAGCAACACAAACAAAAACAACTTAGTAAATACAAAGTGCTGGTCGAGTGCAGCCAAGTTATGACGGCACAAGGCTTTCATCTTAAAATAACATTACAGTTTTTCTCGATTGCTAACACACTAAAATTATACATAAAGCACAATTATTTTAACTGACACTCAAAGAGCAAAACATCGGCTCAAATCTCCAAAACTCTCAACACGTTTTCAGTTTTTCACACAATTTGCAAATCAACATGGCACTTTTTGCAAACCACTGCACACGTTTCTCCACGTAAGACACAGGAATCTGACATAAAGTCACGTGTGAGCAGGTTTAAAACACTGATATTCAAAATGCCTCACACATGGACCAATGATCAAGAAACACGTTCCACCTGACCAAACACCTGATAGCATAATTGTTGGCTCATCAATCAGGATGTTAGCACTATGACTTGACTCGAGTCAACTCAGCCGTCTCTCGAGTTTGTTTTTTCAATTCAGCTGCTCTTCATTTTTTGTCCTGCTATATTTGATGATCGATACAAATATTTGTTATCATAAGTTCTTAATAAAACTGACACTGTTGGACTCGGTACTAGTTTGACTGCTACCAGAAATAAAATGAAGTACTTTTACTGTGTACTTTGTGAGTAATCCTCTGTCAAAGACCCCTCCATACATAATGCATGTTTTCTGCTGTCTCTGATGAGTGATAAAAAGACAATTTTACCATTAGTTCTACACAAATCCTGCACAATTTACTGTGGTAAACTTACTTTTATGCAACACAGACACTGACCAACCACTATATCTTTGTTGTTTATCTGAAGGGCTGAGAAAAAAAGAGGTGCAGGTGGAAGGCTAAGGATTTTCAATGAGGCACAGGAAGCAGCAGTTACAAACTTGGTTTTGGCAAACAATGCCATCACACTTAGAGAGATCCGAAGCATAGTAACTATGTGCTGAGATGCATGTTGCACAATGTTATTTTTGAATAAAATATGATTTCATTCAACAACTCATTTGTATTTCTTCATTTACTGTATTTCTGTAAAAACTGTAATGGAAACATGATCATGACTAATTTATTAATAACAGTGTAATCACCATCTACTATAATTTGCTCAAAATCATTTAATTATGCCCAATCGTTGTAAGATTATTCATGCAATAATAAGCATGGCATTTTAGGTAAGTAATTGCTCCGTTTTTTCCATGATAAACTAAAATGAAATCAAATGTTCTGCTGTAGTTTCATTGAAATCCAAATAAAATAGAGATGAATATGTTGGCTGCAAGCACTCAAATTATGTTCAAACTATTACCTAAACATCATGTAATTTCTAAATAAAGTCAAACACTCTTCATTATTAGGTCCACCCCTCTGACAAGCTCAGGACCCCTAAAGTGCAAAAATATGAATGTAACTCTACAGGCACGAGGACCCAGCATCCTCCTGGGCTGCTCAGCCTGCAGGTTGTGTACTGAGATATTTGTCCAAACAGGAGAACATTCTTGTGAGAAAGACGGTAACATGGAGCAGCACTGGTCAGTTTGGGCACTGGTTTTAGCACTCAGTGCTTTGGTGCACTTTGACATCGTTTTTGCTGCAGGTGCTGATGGCAATTTAACAAGTAAGTTTGTTTTTTAAAGTTCAACCTCCAAATGTGTTGTTTGTGTGAAACATTCCACTACAAGGACAATTCCATTAATGTAATCCAAGTTTCCACAGCTTATCCATCTCCTCTTCTGCTTTACTGTTTCTTTCTCTCAGCGATTCTTCCCAAACCAGGCCACTGCCCACGCCTTCTTAATGTTATCCCATCACATAAGGGGTGTGAGTGTGATGAAGACTGTCCTGCTGACAACAAATGCTGTGTCTTTGACTGTGGAGCTGTCTGTGTCCCCCCTGCTTTCAGTACGAGCCTCAAACCTTTTCTCAAGTGGACAGCTGTTTAAACTTCTGTTTAATCTTTCAGTGACGCTGAAACCAAGAATGGACAGGTTCTTGTAACACATTTCTGCTTCATCCATCTTTGTATATGTTATTTTTCTCTTTTTCCTACAGCCAAGCCAGGAGTGTGCCCTCGCAGGAACTGGGGCTCAGGACTGTGTGCTGAATATTGCTCCAATGACAATGACTGCCCCAATGATGAGAAGTGCTGCCATAATGGATGTGGACATGAGTGCATTGCCCCGTACACAGGTTAGATGTTAGTCAAATCGTCCAAATGTTCCTCTGGCAGGGTTTGAGTGATAAATGTGTTGACACTGTGATTTGTCTCTTCAGTGAAGCGGGGTCGCTGCGCTCTTCCCCAGGGAACCCCCATGTGTGCCGAGTACTGCTATCATGACGGTCAGTGCCCAGGAGAACAGAAGTGCTGCAAGACAACCTGCGGCCACGCCTGCAGCGAGCCCTGCTGATTGGACAGCTCGGGATTCAGCTGCATGTGGAGAGACAATGTGTCATGTTCTCTTTTTCAACTCCATAAAAGCACCCTTTGGAAGTATATCCCAGCATTGATTTGCACAAAGTTGGATTATTTGGGGAGGAGAGAAATGTGTCATTCAAATATAGTTAGGATATTATTTTATGCACCTGTACTTTAATAACCAAAATAAAAGTATTTTACTCTTCATTTAAAGAAGAGTTGGCAGGGTGCCATGCATAGTCTTCACAAACCCTACATTATGTTTGCGATTTTATCTTATACTAGAACATCTGGGTTTTTTACCGGTTTTGATATAATATCCCTCATCTCAATTGATGAAAAATGTACTGTACTAGTATACTGCAATTCTTTGTATTTCAACCAATAAACATGTTTCCAGAACTTAGGAATGTCTTATGTATTTCTCACCTAGCTGGTTATAGGTCTTGGGTTTAACAGGTCTCTTTTGTGGACTTATTAGGCGAGAGCTTGGCTGAATAAACAAAGATGAAATATGCCAAGAATGGAAAGTGCTTACTGGCAGAAACAAGACTATTAAAAGAGGTGGCCAAGATTGTCTGAAACACACATTGTACCATAGCTGTGAGGAGCCACTCATTATTGAAGATATGCATCCTTCACAGACTGTTTTCTCTGGCTGTGTTTATGTACTTGATTGGAAAGAAAACATAGTTTGCAGTGGAGCAGATATGAACATCATTTAGGTGGAATGCTGCTCTTTTCTTTGTTTTTGTTCCATGTTGCCAAACGTGAAGGGGTGAGAATCACTGACCGGCCAAACACAGAGACGTCTGTGTTTGTTCTCTCGAGTCTGCCAGAAGTGGGGCCAAGTTTGTTTACACAAAAATGTGGGTGCTCGGTGGGAAGTAATACAGCTCCAGTGCAGTTTACACTGGCGTACCTTCTTTCTCAGCTAGAAATGTAAATACAATGAAATAAAGATGTTTTCGTTTATTGTAAAAGCAATAAAGAACATACATTTCGCCAAACACACAAAGTACCGCTTCGAACATTCTGTGCACTTTTTCCCAGCCAGGGGACCAGAATGGACGGACAAACATAACAAAGAAAATTAACAAACAAACGCATGGTAGTGTTTCATGGTAGGGTAAGGTCTTTTCCATAATGTAGGACTTCTTTTTGCTATAAGACACACCGAAACGGCATTGAACTAATGAGTGAGTTAGGCCGACAAACTAAAAGGCAATGTATTACGAAGAGACCTTCAGACAATCGCGTTCAACATTCAAGCATGCATCCAAAAACCAACAAGTGCAAAATTAATGTTTGGTAAGAGGGCTGTCCCTTTTCTGTGGAGCAAGTAGTTCTAAACAAGCAATGCTATTGCTCAGATTTTTATAGTTTTGATTACTTTTCATAGTTTTTGTTGACATGTCTTCTTTTCTTATATATTAAAACTACTATAAAACAGTTGTCAGATACCACAAATGAGTTAGGGACAAATAAATAAAAGAACATACCACACGGTGTCCCATAGTTACATTTTGATGCTGTGTACATTTCTGGTTTGACATGGGAAAGTTATTTGATATCCTATAATGACTGTTGGGGAAATGTGACATTCGAACTGAGTGATTATATGCATCTTTTTCAGCAGGAAGATAACAAAACAACAGGTAAGGAATAGAGTATGAAAACAAAGAGGATCATCCTCTTTTCCATTCAGCTCTGAGGCTTTTTATGCTGTGAGAGGCAATCAGTTTCATATTTGTAGAAACATCATCTTACCCTATTGTAACAAAATGGCTATAATATTATGATGTAATGGAGTTATGGCTTAAAACATTCAAAAAACAATAATATTTGAACCAACCCAGTGACGCGCTATCCACTGCAGCATAGTGCATAGCTTTGGTTCCTTACAATAACAGAGCTCTTACTTTCCGTCTAGGTAGAGAAACGTCTTTATGTTCTTGTCCTTCCCCGGCATAATAATTCAATATTAAAAAAAACGATTTGTTGTCTGTCATTTAAAAAAACAAACCTTCAAGATGACTGTTTAGAGAAACATTCATAGCAGTGCTTGACTCAGTCCCTGAGTGTCACATGTTTACCAGTGGTTTCACCAAGAGGAGAACGTCCATCCTAAAAAGTAGATCCAGTTGGCCTTCAGTCCAGCCTCAGAGTGGCGGTACGCCCCTCATCCTGCGGATGATGTTGGCTAACCGCTTGGCCAATCCCGGGCTGGGCTCCTCTATCTGGAAGCTCCGGGTCAGTAGGTTGTAGAGCGAGCCGTAGCCCACGGCAACCACAGTGCAGGTCAGGCAGATTACGTTGTATGGCATGCTGAAGTCTGGAGTGGGCAGGTTGACCAGCAGAGGCTCCGTGTAGACGCGCACAAAGAAGCTGGACTCCTCTTTACAGGGGAAACTGGGGGAGATGGGAAATGTGATCATTGGTCAATTATAAATAGACTGTACAATGTGTTCCTCCACAGGAAGTCAACATCAGAAAAACGAAACACTCTATACTTACAAGCTGCTGAAAAGTGGCCGATCCATCGTTATGTTTGTATCCATGGCGACAATGCTCGGTACAAGAGAGCTGATTACTGAAGACCTAAATGTTGGAGAAAACAATGTCAGTCATTACGAAAGAGAGGGAAAATGACTTTAAAGACCTTCCACTCTTACACCCCTGAAACTCACGCTACACCACACTGTGTGAAGAGACACAGATAACATGTGCTGGAAACAATTGGTTTGAAAACAACCCTACATGTTGCTTACCCAACATAGAAGCCGTGGTTGGGATCGGGGGTGTATTCAGTCCACTTGAGCAGAGCCCTCTCAAACTGCACCGTGACCTCGGTGACGGAGTTGGGAGGAAGCTGGACGAGCATCTCCAACAGGTGGGGCCTCAGGCGATCCTTAGATGGCTGGTAGTGGATGTAGCCTGGTGCAGGAAGAAGACCATTAATACACTATTGTAATGTTTATGCTAGACCTCTGCAATTTCACAAGTTTTATATACTTATTGAACAATGTGACAATGAAACTCGATGACTGTGCCTTTTTTGCTGGACTGACAAAGAAGCTCTTAAATTAGTCCAGCTTTTTCAGAAGCTAAATATTTGATCATATCTATTTAATTCTCAATTTTCGTAGATTTCCAGTAGAAAAGAAAGAATAGATTGTAAAATACTTCTTTCATGTTTTTAAATCCATGAATGGCTCAGCACTTTCTTTAGTCGTTGACATGCTCAGTGAATGAAAAGAAAGAGAGTTGCTAGAGAATATGACTCGTGTTCTCCTCCCTCTGGTGAGAAGAAGCAATTGCAGGAAATTAGATAAAACAATGAATCCTGTAGGGAGGCTAATGCCCAGCTAACCTAGCTGTGAAGTGTTTTTAGGCTTAAGGTGTGCAATCTCAAACAATAAAAGCAGTGTAATTAAGGTAAAAATATTGGTCAGAAATGTTCTGTTGTTATCCGTGCTGCTGACGATGCATACTACCGTTGGTGTGAGTGGGACATGATGGTAGTTTTAACTAAATTTGAGGGGAAGTAATTGTGCTATGAATGTAAAATACAGGGAGTGTCTAGAAAACATTTTGCATAGTTAATTAAAGTACATTTAAATAGAAATGTCTCACTTTCTTCCAATAATGAACCAATGATAGAAAAATAGTTCCAGCATTTGGCACAATTCAGACCCTAATAGATGTTAATGTGTGCAGCACAGTCATACGTCTGGACTTTCTAAAGTGACTCACTGGGCTTGTTGTCCTTCCCCTTGCTGGTCACAGTGAGGGTGTGGATGTAGAGACGGAGGTACCAAGGCACGGTGTCCAGCAGCAGCACAGGGAACGACCTGTACGGGTGGTTGTTGTACATCAGAGTGTGAATCTCTCCTGTCTGCAGCCCGTAACCTGCCACGTAGCGCTCAGCATGGAGCAGGGGACGCAGCATGTCTCCTGCTGGGGGTATGAGACATGGAGGATTATTGGTCAACCATATGGGAAACATTGTGCAGAGACAATAAGACACATGGGTAATGTTTCATTTCATGAAGTCAGAGAATATCGTTTATGACTGAACTAAAAAATATCTGTTAGTATGACTAATGTTGAGAAACTAGGGAGCCTCTGGGAACAAATGAAAACTATTTGTCTTCGGTACAAAACACAATTATCTCAGACACAAGAAGTGTTTTCTTATTTGCCTTTTTGGCTTGAATAAATGTTTTGTAAAAACTGTCACATGTTGCAATCTTAAAGTGACTTCAGCTGCTGCTCATTACTGACTTTCTGTCCCAAAACAGAGAACAGGTTGCAGGTAGAAATGATGACAGCAAACCCTGAGAATAGCAGAACAGAAGATGTAGCCAAGAGAGCGATGACAAACAGATGCAGTTGAAACATTTTGTTAACTCCTTTATAGTCCGTCTGGTTGCATTAAATATGTGAGAATACTGTATGTCCGGCCTCTTGTACAAAGCGGTGTGTCATCCTCTGCTCACTCACCCTCACTGGATTTCCAGCGGATCAGCGGGTTGAGAGAGCGCACGGTGCCGAAGGTGAGTGGCTGCGTCAGATCGTAGACGGAGAAGGTCCGTCTGTCCCCGAGCACCATCGCCTGGCTCAGCAGGGGAGTGGCCGGGCTCAACTCAAACAGCTCGCCCTGCACAATCACATCAAATTTCTCTTGAGTTGCAAAAAAAACAACACACTGTAAAAGATAGAATCTATTTTGACATGTTTCTACGTCTGATCAAGTTATCTCTAACAGGTACCGTGTGGAGTTTCCTTATAGCAAACTAATGTTGTGTTTACATTCAGTGTCAGACGTTGTTGCTAATCCTTGACTCTAACAAATGTGTTCAGTGCATTTATTCCATCAAACATAGAAATGGTGTTTATTTAAAATAATTTATTTTTATTTATTGTAATATATATCCTCCATTGTTAACGCCATGTTTACTTGTGAGCAGTCTTCTTCTTCACTGCTTTTGTTTGCGCATTGCAGCACATTTTGCCAGCTCATCAACAAACAGCTCCATAGCTACTAAAGGTCAAACATTTCAAAGGGGGGTTGGGGGTCACCCTGGTAGATTATATGCCCCATGCAATATAGTCCTTACCACGGGCTGGGTGTGATCCGACCCACCGCCCACCCATGTCCCCTCTATTTCTCCTTTTTGTGTTTATCCTTTTACTATAGAAGTCTTTCCAAAATGTTCTCACTTCTTCATTTTATCCTATAAAAAGGCATTTGTGCGAAATGGTCATAAAAAGCGTATATTTTTAAGTTACGGTCAAATACGTGTTTTGTGAGGTCACCGTGATCTTTGACCACCAACTTAGATTATCTTTGAGTTCAAGTTGATCTCTATGCCAAATTTGAATAAATTGCTTTTAGATGTTCCTGAGATATCGCCTTCACAAAAATGAATAGACGGTCATCTCAACACAGAGGCCATAACAAATATTAAACTCTGAAGGGAAGCTTTGACAGTTCAGTAAAACTAAAATGTTTTGCTTTGAGGGAATAACTAAGACTGGGGTAAGGGCATATTATGTAGGAGTCAAACCTGAGGGTCGTCTGTGATGTCGATGTAGATTTTACTGGAGGAGGCCAGTGGACAGGCTTCTGTCAGGGTCCGAGAGAACATCTTAAACAGAGACCACTCTGAAACAACAAACAGCTTAGGTCAAAACAAAGGTAGGTTAAACAGGCCGGGGGGGCTGATCTTCTATTCTAATACAAAACACACAAAAACACCAATCAATCAATGTTGGATGAATGCTGAAAAGAATGCACTTCTGCTCACCTCGTTTGCCCTGTCCAGAGGTGTGCAGGTCAAACACGACATTCAGAGTCTGTCTCAGCTCCCAGGAGGTGGTTTTACACTGCCAGTCCTGGCACACGGGTCTGATGTGCACTGCTTGGGAATGAAAACTACTGTGGAACAGTTTCTCTGACTTCAACAGGACAGTGAGACCAGCCTATGAATGCAACATCGCCAAAAAAAGAAACAGAAGGAGCAACTGCGTTAGCTGCAGTCAGAATGTCGGCCTCATATCGTTTCCAGACAACGTGAATTTTGAGATCTGTTAAAAATACAGACACAGACAAACATAGACGCCCACCTTGGATCCACATGGCAAAAGTTTCTTCCAGGGTGTCAAATTCTCAGTACAAACTATCTCTCGTGGGAGGGTGGCATAGCGGAGGAAGCGGTGGTCTGTCACTGCAAGTTCAACACAAAAAAACATAAATAATGCATCTTGGAACGTCTCTGTAGCACCGGCACGCTGCCATCATTTAAGGTTTCCAATTATACCATTAGCTTTTATTCAGGATAATCAATAGAGAGCTTTACAAAATGCAAAGGGAGATAAAGCATCACTTTACCGTTCCCTATTCCCAGCGGTTTGAAAGACGCACTGGGCTGAACTGTGTTGGTGGAGTCAATGAAGTTCAGTGAAGCACAGAAGATTCCAGAAAGAACATTTGTCAGCTCCTTCCACGTGCCATCAACACTGAAAAATGAAAGGAAATGTTATGAGCATATTGAAAAAACTGACAAAGCTCGTCCAATGAGTTGGATGGTAGTGCAAGTTTTTAGGGATGAACTTATTTATAAGAAAAACATAAACACAGAAAATATATTTCTCCTCTGATGCCCTGCAGCCACTAGAGGGCCGTACTCACTCGGTCACTGAGTCCTGGAACCACACCCAGAGCTCAGCTCCAGGGGGGGCCGGCTGGAAGGGCTGCCCCCACTGCATGGTCCTCCAGTAGCCCTGCGTGAAGGAGATGTGCAGCTCTCGCACTGAGAACTTGGAGATGACCTGGCCCAGAGACTTTGGAAAAAGCCGGTAGTGGGACACTGAAAAACAAACATTACACAGTTAAGGCTTATAGTTAGCAAACTCATTGTCTAATGATGTGGGTGTGAATGAACAAAAGGAAAAACTGGTATTTATCAAAATCATCAAGCTATGCAACTTTGTTTACAGTTTACCAGTGGTCATAGTGTGAAGCTACATTTGTGGTAAAAAATAGAAGCCTGGCTAATAGCCTGAATGAAAAGCACTTTGGTACCCTTACTAAAATGTTGATATTAATGCAATACATTTTTTGTAGTATAGTTTATACAATAATATATCGTTCCTGAGGTAAATAAAAGTGTGCCAGCAAGTTACAATTTTAGTAAAGTATTTTCGGACCTCCTTATGTCAATCAGTAGAGTAAGTACATTCAAATGTATAACTGAAAAAGCAAACTAAACACAAAAAATAATACCGTTTAAGGAGTTCATATGTTCCCTATTCTTACCAGACTATAAAAGTGAACCAGTTCAAACCCTGAATATTTACTTCAAGACCATTACAGAACTTCCGTGTACGCTACAGTCGTCACCTTCGTTTAAATGGAGCGTTTGAATAATAACATTAGATAAATTAGTAGGTGTGTTTCTGACTCAAATTAATTCAGTGCTAACAGTTAGCTTACCTTTGTTTCCACTCATGAAGTCAGTCTCCCACAGGGTGCGGAACTGGAAGCTGGCATAAATATCTCCTGAGTGCAGCGGTCTGATGACCAGCTCCTCCTGGAAGTCGTCTTTGGGCTGTGGTACCGGGGAGGGGGCCTCGGTTTCAGGGGCAGGAGTGTCCTGTTTGTCGGCTGCAGCTTCATGGAGAGTCGCCTCTTCAACCTCAGTAGCTTCCCAGCTCCTCTCCTCCACCGCGGGCTGCTCGGACGTTTTTTCCACTGCTTCTGTGGCTGCTTGTGGATTATCCTCGACCGCAGCAGCATGGTGACCACCAGATAGAGTCGTGTCTTGACTGTCTGCGACAATAAACACTGAAACACTGCAAATAATTAGCAGCAGAGCCGAGTAGCTGCAGCTGTGCGCTGCCATCTTTCTCTTCCGGCGGTGGCTTACTTCCGCATCACGCGTCACTTGCTTCCACATCACGCGTCACTTGCTTCCATATGTATTTCTGTGTCAATGCTGGACCTTCTTTGTTTTAACCAAAAATATTGTAATTTGAAAGATATTTACGGGAAAATGCTCATATAAAAGTGTTACATGTTTTATTTTAAGCAATTACTCTAAACATAATAATATTGTAAAGCAGCTTATAAGGGGTTTTATGTAAGGTAGCATAGTGTTTGTATGCATTGCTTGGATTTTAGATACGGGGTTTTTATACACAATGTGCTTTTAACAATGTGCACATTAGGTTTTCTGACTTAAAACTTTGTTAGTTCGTTTTTTTATAAATAGATGTTTGCATTTTCTGAAACAAATGCTCTGTTGGCACCCACACATATAATAGATAGGCTATTGATCAATGCACCTTTTCAGTATTTCCACATATAAGAGTAAAGCCAATGTTTGCCACCAGTGGGCCAATGTGGTGCATTTTAAATAATAAACCAATTAAAGGCGATGTCATAAATTCTTGATAAATAAGCTATTATGCGTTCTCGACTTAATCTGGCATTTTATAGCGTTATACTAGGGCTGATTAACCCTATAATAAAGCTTATAGACACAAAATAAACGATGCGAGAGGGCGATTTGTTATGAAAATAAAGCACATAAATACACGCTCCAAAAATGTATCAATGTTTGCAACATGCTGGATATGTGTTGAATATTTTGTCGTGTTGCTGGACAGGGACGGGCATCATCGGGGGCATATCACCCCTCCCACATCCACACATCGACGCGCACACACACACACACACACACACACACACACACACACACACACACACACACACACACACAGACACACACACACACACACACACACAGCTCAGCCATGGCTCCCTGGTAGATGCTCAAAGCGGCGGTTGTCGGAGCGAATTAAATCTGTACTCGCTCGCTGCTTTCCTCCTGACCTTGCCTGCCTCTGGTTGGGTTTTCAATATTTTATTCAGGATTCCAGTGCTGTCTCCCCATGGCTACATCGGATGGACTAGACGGCTGTCTGAATCGAGGCAGATCTCAAAGTGACCCGAACATACTCACCGAACCGGGCATCGATTTGGCTCATGGCACAGGTAAGATAAGCGCGTCATTGTCTGGATATTATTTTCAAATGTATGCAAGTGTTTTTATGTTTCCTCTTATTTGGCGATGCAGCGGTTTCCAGCAGGCATCATCGCTTTCCCAGCGGGATATAGCAACACTGAGGGATAATTAGCGCATATGCCTCCAATCTTGGACGTAAAATACAGGCTGTAACACTGAATCGTTGAGCTGCAAATTGAAAATTAATGTGCCATATCAGCGCGTCTGTGAATGGCTGCATGCCTCTCCAGATTTGCGCGTTATAAAGCTGCCTGTAGCCCTTAGAGCTGGAAGTAGTATTTACGAACAAGCATGAATGCCTTTCTAATGCCTTTCAGTCCATATTGCCACATGATAACCTCCCTCTGTAGCACGTATATTTTTGGTCACAAAATCCGCATGCATGTGGTCCATGATGCTAAACTGAGAGTATTTTGTTGTTTATAAGCCACCATTATCGCTTCATTATTCAGGAGACACATGGGTGTTTTGGTTTTAGTGTTGCAAAGGGCACAAGCACATCTTTTTTTCGATAAAGCCCTTCGCTCTGACCCTGGGTATTGACAGCTCTGTCACCCCCACCCCCTTCACTCTTCCTCTCACTGAAATTATCACTGTGTTGATCAATGACCGACCGTCCACGTGATGTAGGCTTTGGGTGGAAATACACCAATTCTGCACAGCTTTTCACGCGGTTCACCAATTCATACCTCCTGCAGGTGTGCTTTTCCAACATGGAGCATTTGTTTATCTCTCCTGTGGTCTGTTAGTCACCCCTCTGCATAAGGAATAATGAATTGATCTTTCATTAATAAAATGAGAACACCAGGGAGCAGTCTGGTTGTGCACTACCCTGATGAACTCCTGCAAATAGACTTCAGGTGGGTCTTGTGTTTGCTGTGAATCCTCCTCGCTCCACAATCTTTCCTCCATTGCAAATACAATGTTAGATTTTTACGTAAGTGAGGCTATTTATGGTCACATTGTGTGGGCTTAGAAAGAGTCATTTGCTATACTCCCACGCATGGTGAGTTTTACGCACATGAAGAATGCTTGACTGGATGATTCAGAAAAAAAAAATCCACTGTCCCTCACCTTTCAACTGTTTACTAATGAGGCCGGTCTTTTTCACATCTCTTAAATCGCACCTGTCTGCAATCATCAACTGCCCATGGCACATTTTAATGGACCCTTGCTGAAATAAACCCTCCCATGGATGATTTAATTCACACCTTTGGATGTGATAATGTCACACTGGGTCTGAATAAACAACCCAGCAGCCTGGCAGATCAGCCATTGCTAGTGTTGAGCGCTACAGCTATCGGGGAACACTGAATATCATCCTCTTACGCTCGAATATGCACAACTGCACTATACTGTCAAATATGTGAACACCGTTGTCAATACACTGCAAGGACAATGTCAGTGTCTGGTGACCCAAAGTACACAAAACATGGCCCATCCCCTCTCTGCGTGGATCATCACTGCGCTAGCGTCTGGGACACTAGTCTTTGCCAAAGGATTACTTTGGCAAAGACTGCCTTTTTCCCCCAACACAGTGGCCTTTGCAGCTGCAGAGGCGGACACTGTATTCATCCCCTTACTCATCACTGAGGAGAAGAGTCAATAGAGACAGAAGTCACAGATGCACATCAGAGAATCCTAGCTGTGTTTTCTCTTAATGAAGGTGCAGTTATAATACAGCAGGACATCCTGAAAACAATCTAACCCTACTTCTTTTTTAGTGTGTTGAGTCACATTTGCAAAAGTTTTCAGGTTTATCTCTCAAGGATTTATAGTATTGTTGCGATTGTTTGTCTTGTAGTCTGAGTGCAGACATTCTCTTTGAGCGGTTGCTGTTATATACTGTATATCAAAGATATTTAGGAAGTCCAGTCAAAGGTGCCGTATTGTAAAAACATGTTAAGTCAGTTTGTCCAGACAAGGGCCCTTTAGATTGTCCTGCTAATGAAATGTCACTTTCACTCCAACTTACACTTAGTCATCGCAGAGTGTCGGTCAAGGTAATGGTGTGGAGAGGACACCTTGCGGCTTTGCGTACAGGGAGCGTGTCCAAACAGGGCTGTCCCTGTAGCTTCATGCCTCTGAGTCATTCCACTGTCCTACAGAAGGATGTAAACAGCAAGAGAAGCGAGGTATATTTAGGCAGGAAGTTTGAAAATAGTTACATCGGACACACAAGGTGCTGTGTTTGCAAGAATCTGGCAACAACATAAGTGTCATGATATAAAGAAAACAATTCAACATTGTGCAATATATTGTGATCCTGTAAAACAATGCGATATATTGCACAATTTAAAAATAAAATGTTAGATCAACCGTAGTATAAAAAAACACACCATATTTGCATACAATCTGAGTAAAATGTTTTACTGTTTTTTTCAATCAGCACATTAGGATCATAATTGATCTCCATGCCTCTGACATCCAACATCATAGCACTGTTTTTTGTGCAATCTGAGCCACTGTCACAATATCACAATACTCAAGTGTATCAATATGTTCCTACTATGCTACATTGGACCTATATCAGGATCGAGTAGAATGGGAAAATCAGCAAAAATTCAGTTTATAAACACAAATTGAGACATGGCTGCAACTAACAGTTATTCCTATCAACAGCTCAGATAGAAGGGTACAAGTGCTTATCACAATTTACCAGAGCATAAAAGGATGTCTTCAGACAGCTAGAGCAGGAACTTACATTTGTAAGTAACTTTTATTTTGTGTTAACCTATTTTATTTGTTTATTGACTCATTGTTTTAGCATCACTGTAGGTGCAAATCACCAAAGCTGTAATATTTCATGTCTTTTCACTTGCCCTGTCTCTTGGGAAGTCAGAGCTCAGGATAAATGAAAGAACAGTGTCCTCAGAGCCGACAGGTATTCGTCACTTTGCTCAAGGCGACTTCAGCCTGGTGGATCTCGGCTCACATGGCGGCTTAAACCCTTGAACAGTCGGACCCAATTTGTTCGGTTATAGGACAGTGTCTCTTACCACAAGTGTCCCACTGATCAGTGATCTTTTTGGTCTCATCCTCTTCCGCTGGCCTGACTGATACCTGGGTAATCCTCTCAGATCTGACATCAGAAGAATCTCTGAGGATTGCAGGTTTAAGTGGAGCCCCCCTAATGAACAAGGAGACACGTCAAACCCTGTGAAAGCGGATATTGAGGCATGACGATGACTCACTCCAAACCAGAGCAGAGCAATGTATGAGATATAATACCTCATGCCTTCATGAGTGAATAAGGGAAAATCTGAGTTAGCGGGTATTATATAATATTTTCCCCATGCATTTACCAAAGCTTTGGTTGAAAATGAAGAAGTAATAATGGCAGAACATTGTATTCTTGCCACAGGAAAATCTCTATCTATCCATCCATCCATCCATCTATCCATCTATCCATCTATCCATCTATCCATCTATCCATCTATCCATCTATCCATCTATCCATCCATCCATCCATCCATCCATCCATCCATCCATCCATCCATCCATCCATCCATCCATCCATCCATCCATCATCCATCCATCTCCCTCCATCCATCCATCCATCCATCCATCCATCCATCCATCCATCCATCCATCCATCCATCCATCCATCCATCCATCCATCCATCCATCCATCCATCCATTCATTCATCCATCCATCCATCCATCCATCCATCCATCCATCCATCCATCCATCCATCCATCCATCCATCCCTCCATCCATCCATCCATCCATCCATCCATCCATCCATCCATCCATCCATCCATCCATCCATCCATCCATTCATTCATCCATCTATCTATCTATCCTGATTTCAGATATGAGCTATTTAAACCTACATTGGGCGTGGTTCCTCATTCACAGAGTCCTCCATGTTGCAACGCCATATTTAAACAGTAGTTTAGAGAGGACAATCCCAACACTGGCTCTATAGGGCCTTTTCACGTGCACTCTGAAGGCCACTAGTTGTCCGACACCTATTTTTTTACACCTATGTTTTGCTCCTAAAATAGTGTTATGGTAATAAAGGTTTCTGAGCGTGGTATGGGCCTAAAAAATACCAATACGTTACTACGGTTTAACAGACAGCGGCTAGTTTCCACAGTTGTGTAAAGGGAAAGGGTGAGTGGAATTTACTCTAAGCTAGATGCCACCAAATCCTAAACAATGTCCCTTTAAATCCCGTTATACTGAATATCTTTCACTTAAGACAAGTTGGATATCAAGTCACTTAATAACATCACTTTGGAATTTGGAAAAATGATATTCATATTAATAATTGTATTTTGACCTTTTATAGATAAAACAATCAAAGAAATAGTGTTAAACTATTTGTGTATAGAATGTTCTTTAGTTGACACATTTCGTTTTCAGAAGAAGCACAACGACAGGAAGCCTGAACTTATTTAGGTCTTTCTTCCTTTTTTTGGTAGCAGAGCTGTAATTCACACAAGCGTAACTACTCACTCCTCATGGTCACCCTGAAGGGACTGAGTCAGTCGAGGCCACCTGTTAGTGGTAGCCACTGGAGAGCAATTCATTTCCATCCTTCTTGATGCTATAGAGGTCCCCACAGGGGCCAAGGAGAGACGCTCAGCCATCGAGTCTGAGAGCAGTAACAAGATATCTGCTCTCAGGAGCCATCCTGAAATGTTTACTGTAGTATTATTAATTGATGTGGTTGAGACTGTATGCTTTAAAGCTGGCACTTTGAGAAAGTGATACATATCTGTTGATCCACGACTAGAAGCACTGATTCATTCACTGAGTTATTTTCAAGTCTGATGCCTGAGTAAGGGTAGGCCATATAAATAAAAGTATTATAAAACATTATATGCAGTAAGGAATCTGTCTTACTGCTCTACCAGGTGAGGGACCAAGCTGCCATAACAATATATTTTAAACCATTATAGTCACCGGCATAAAAATACGAACAATGATTTTAGAAACACAGACTTCTGTTCGGGGCAC